CTTCCTTCCGCCGGGGACAGGTCTGCACGCAGACCCGGGCCAACCCTGCCTTGTTGGAGCGAGGCTTTGGGGTCATCGGGAGGAATGTTGTTGTACGGCAGAGTGCTCTGCTGTGACTCTCTCTCCTAGTCTTTTTCTTCAGCTCGCCTCTCTTCTGGACCCGAAGAGAAGCAACGCGGAGGCACCACCCCTCTCGTTGCCGCTTGAGCGACGGCCACACTCGAGGAACATGCCCGGGGGCTCGCCACTAACTACCCTTGACAAACAGCCTCCTCGAAGGAGGCTGAGCACGTGGGCGGGGAATTGCCGGACCAACCATGTGGTGCCAACTACGTGGACAAAGTAAGTCAAGCAGCAGAAGAAGTATGACTTTCAACTGGTGTGCTCTACATATACACAACCTGGTGTCTGGAGCTGAAACGGGGTCCCCTATAAAAGCAACACTAAGTGCCGTCTGCTTACACATCTAATTACAGATATCCAAGAGCCTGAGATAAATGCATGCTCGAATCAGATACCACATTACATGTGATGGGTTGGAGTTGTCTAATACGTGCCAAGAAATAACAAACGAAGCGCCGAATGCGACATACATTGTACAATGCATCACATGATTGCAGGTACTCGAGGAGGATGTTGCTTGGCCGTAAACATCAGCCTAAAGACTGGCAAGACTCGAGCTGCTTGGAGACTTCCCTCTGACAAGTCATGAGCAATAGGTTACGACAACATAGGGAAGCAGAAAAGAGACGCTGCGAACTGTACCTACCGATGTGCCAAAGCATGCGAATCAGCATTGAGGCGTGCAGCTGACGGTTCGGAGTGAACTCTTCCCCGTCCCTGTCTCTATACTGCTTGCTTGATTGATGCGATGTAAGAACCGATACGCCGGTCCGAACATGTGCAGGTATCTCCTCCAGACTGGCTACCCCTGCCCTTCGACAAGCCAGAAGGGTGTAGTGAGTAGAACTCCCGAACAGTTCCGCTGAAGCACATAGGGGTACGTTCTTCAACCAACACCCCCGGCAATCATCTGGAAGCAGTTAGTTTTCTCTCTCTCTCCCTCTCTCCCTCCCTCTTCCTCGCCCTGTCCCTCTGCCCGCAGTCAAATCCCTAACCCAAACCGGACGAGCGATAAACCGCACTGCTTCTACACCTGGAAGACCCAAAGTCACACCCACCCTACTTCAAGCTCGCCNNCCCCCCCCCCCCCCCCCCCAAGCTGCCTCTTTCACCTCCTCGCGCCCTCCAGGAAGCTGGGCAGCACGGACCTTCTTGCGGATGTGCCTGGCGCCAGGCTCCGAAAGGAACCCTGAAGGTGTAGTTTTGGGGATCTAGATGGATTTAGGATTAAGGTTCAAGGTTTTCTACCTACATGATATTTTGACTGTGGGCGCTCGCGACTAAGCACGCATCCCGTTGGAATATGTTGGAATGGAATCTGGTGGCTGCTGGCCGTTAGATAGAATCGTAGATTCAAGGGGAGCTTTCTTCAGAGGGGCCGATCTCGGGAGTGACATCCCCCATGCCATGCCCTGACTTCAACTATCCCAAAAACCTGTGCAACAGATCATTTGCAAGTTCCGCTAAGACCAGGCGGTTGGGCTTCAGCCACTCCTGAAGCTCGCGGTGGTCCTGTGCCTTCGGAAATAAGATGGATGAAGGGCAGAGATCTTGGGTGCGCCTCTCAACTTTGCGATCGATAACTATACTTAGCAAAACTTCCTTATGGGTCTTGATGTCACACAGGTAGGATGATGATGATGATGATGCTG